TTGCCGCGGCCTTTCCGGATGAACCACCCAGGTAGGTGGTTCTTTTTTGGTGCGGGGTTTTGGGCGGGAGGGACGGATCGGTGACAGCCAGGCAACGCTTCCCAGATGTTGCCGTGGGATCGCGCCCATTTGCCGCGCATCCGTTCCATCCCTCTCCCGGCCCAAATCCTCGCATGTAACCGGGGCCGAAGTGGGGATTCAACCTTGGATCTTCCAGATCTGAGTCCAACTCCCCCTCCACAGTTCCCATGGCTTCCTGAGGAGAGGGAATGGGTTTTATGCCCATTTAAGCATTCTAGTCCAGTAGCACCGTAGAGACCAACAAGGTTTCCAGGGTATAAACCTCAGGGAATAAGTCAGATATACCCCTCAATTCCTCTTGGTCTCTAAGGTGCTACTGGACTGGAATATATCTTCTACTGTAGACCAACACAGCTACCCTGTGAAAATAGTTTAAGTATCATTCCTGGATTTGACAGATCAACAGGAGGCAATTTATAGAGGTTTATGGTGCTGGAGAAGACTCTTGAGAGTCCCTTGGACTGCAAGAAGATCAAATCAGTCAATCCTAAAAGAAATCAACCCTGACTGTTCCCTGGAAGGCCAGATAATGAAACTGAAGTTCAAATACTTTGGCCACCAAATGAGAAGGGAGCACTCACTGGAGAAGACCCTGATGCTGGGAAAGATTGAAGGTCAAAGAAGACGGGGACGGCAAAAGATGAGATGGTTAGACAGTGTCATAGATGCAACGAACATGAAATTGAGCCAACTTCAGAGGACGGTGGAAGACAGGAGGGCCTGGCGGGAGCTGGTCCATGGGTCGCGAAGAGTCGGACTCGACTGTGCGACTGAACAACAAAAATGCTACTACCAAACTTAAATTGTGCCAGCACTTGAAATTCAGCAATCTCTCCACACAAGAAACTATCCAGCATAAATGTAGATTGAAACATTTAGGTTTCAAAAGTTAGTATCTGAACTTCAAATAAAAAGAATCCTCAATCAGGTCCCCAAGGTCAGGTTTTGCCACTGAAGCTTTAGCCTGTTAGTCAAATCTCTTGACCAAGGCCTGTGAATCTACCACTGATCCAGAGTTTCTCCAGCAATATTTGTACCTTAAGATCAGAAAGCCAACTGTACTGAAATGCCAGAGTCCATTTCATACATGGGTGTTTGGATATTACCAGTGAAGCTTATTTCAGTTCTTCCACTAGCAAGATTTCCATAGTTTCTTAGTTTTCCATTTCTCATACAGACTTAAAATAGACGTTTACTTAGACTTTTATCCTTCCCACTCCCTAAGGAGCTTGGAATGACGTACATACCCCCCTCCCCCAATTTCATACCCACAACAACTTCCTGAGAGAGGGCTGGGCAGAGAGAATAGTGACTGGCCCAAGGTCACCCAGAATGAGCATTTCAGCCTGGGTCAAAATACAACACTCTAGTCATTACATCACACAAGTTTCATTACAAATTTACGTTCCTAGTTCACACTAAATGTAAGTCTAGATATCATAAACATATACCATGTATGTAGAAGGTTATGGAAAGATTTATGATTTATTATGGAAATAATGGCACTTTATTATTTGTTCGGAGGTCTTTGTATGATCATTGCATTGGTTATATTTTAATATATATTTTTTCTATAAACTCAGAAATAAAAAAGAGAAGGGATCTGAACTCCAGCTTCCTTGGTCCATGCAATCCTCTGCAGCCTCTACCCTGTTGGCTGATGCAGTCCTTTCTCCTTCCCAGCATCCATGTTCTGTCAGAGCTGCAGCCTACCGAGCACCATAAACCTCCAAGCTGCACTGTAATTAGAGGTGTACAAACCTCAATATGGCTGGTGGGACTTAGTTTGACCACTTTGGCTTGGATGTCTTGCAAAAACCAAGCAGGCTTCTGAAACTGCATGCACTGCCTTAAATTGGCCAGACAGCCAATGCCGCAAGAATTCCCTCTGCTCAACTTTTTCCCCAGTTCTATCCCTGACCAGTGTAAAACGGATCAGCATCATGCCTCCCCTTAAACTGCATGTAATGATGTTCTGGCTCCCTCCTTATCACAGGGGGCTTTTCCTCCCCTCCCTGGGACAAACTCTTGTCCTATTTATTTATTTATTTAATTTATACCCCGCCCTCCCCTCCTACAAGCTGAAGCTTTTCCTTTAGCTACATTTGGGAGTCTCCACTTCAGATTACGCGTTCAGCAGGGAGGCCTGCCAAGGATGAGAAGGAAAGCATCCCTTCTCTTGACGTATTCTGGGGTTTTAGTGCAGACTCAAGTTGCTCAGGATGCAGAAGGGTGGCTCCAGATCACTGCAGGCACCAGATTATTATTTTTTATATATATTTGAACTTCTAGACTGCTTCTCTGCCCCTCTGCCAAAAAAGTCTCCAAAGTCACTTATTATAATTAATTATTATAAGCACAAAGATCATAAAACCACAATTAAAATTTCCAAATTCATAATTCCAAAAAATACTGTACTAAACTGGATAGCCCAGGCAAGCCCGATCTCATCAGATCTTGGAAGCTAAGCAAGTATTTGGATGGGAGACCTCCAAAGAATACCAGGGTTAGGAGGCAGAGGCAGGCTATCAAGCCACTTCTCTGAACGTCCTCCATGCCCCAGTAGGAGTCACCAGAGGTTGCCATGACTTCCAGGCATGAGCACACACACACACGCACAATGCAAAAATACAAAAAAACCCCATACAATTAAAAAATAGCTGTCATAGTAAACCTAAAGAAGTCTCAAAGTCCTGAAAGAACAAAACTTTTAAAAATTCTAAGAGTAATGATAGTAGAAGACTGATGGATTTCCCTAGGGCAAAGTTCCACAGCACAAGCACATTACTAGAAAGACCCATGTACCTGATGAAGATGGAAAGCACACACTTCTGGTCACTTCAATTACCTTTCTATCCAAAGGCAGAACTGTGCCTTGAAACACCTTGAAGCTACAAACCTGCCTTAAAGGTCAGTGAGAGACCCCATCTGCCACAGGTCCATCAACCATCTGCAACTTCATCTTGTCTGGATTGTGCTTCAGTTTATGCAAACTTGAGACTGACCTTGCCGTCATTTATGAGGGAATGTGATTCCCATGTGTTGAGATCCTCAGGAGTGCTGAGATCTGTGGAAGCATCTTTGGGCAATATTGGTTGCAATCCTGAGCGGGTCTATTTATGAATAAGACCCTCATAATTCAATGGGATTTACTCCCACAAAATTGTCTTTAGGTTTGCAGCTATAAAGACTAGTATGAGCAACAGAAATAAGATGGAAATAACCACCGTATATGACAGTCATTCAGTTTTGGAACCTGGTCTTTCCCCATTGGGCTGAATAGGTCCAAGGCTGAACCTTTGTCCACTTTTCAATGCCAGGCCATAGGGAATGTATGAAGAGTGTGCCTACACAGAGAACCTACACCCACTATTAAGAAACCAGAGAAATTTGCTCTTGTCTGTATGTGTGTAGATGTGTGTGTGTGTAGTTGTTACTCTTTTTTTATAAGCCCCCAAGCACTGTGCAGGATCTTCAAAGGCCATCTGAAATCCTTCAAGGCCAGCCTTCTGAAGCACAAGTACTTGGGTCCATACATCCATTTTGGAGCCTCCCCCTTCCAAGACTCCTCATTGTTCTGAGCAACATTTCATTGCAGTAGAAAAACACAAACAAGCTGTAGTACCTTCTTGGGCTGAGTTGGCAGAATAATAATAACTTTTTTAATCTTTGGCCTCAAGAATCTCTTTGATTTTTGGTAAACAATCCAGAACAGCAGTCTGAATCCCAAAAATCTGCTTTCCATTTCCTCTTGAGTGAGTCCTACATGACACTTCGTCAGATCCATTGTTTGTGTTACTCGATGTGATCATACT